CCTATTGAGTGCAGTAATGGTGAGTCTGTCTGTTTCAACCCAAGGGCCAAGCCTGTTTCTTATCATGCTTAGCAGATTGTTTGTCTGCATTATGATACATGTCTTCAACCCTGCAGATTGTTAATACTGTTAAATTGACCCGTATTGTATATTGAATTCTCCTCACAATACAACACATGTAAGGTAATCTGAGGACAGCAGTCACCAGTTGCTTAAACAGGAAGTATATTAATACCACTGTCCTTTTATTATACTCTTAAGTCAACAATACATTTGTGTTTGCACACGTCAACCATTTGAAATATTTGCATTTGTGAGGCCAAAAAGAAAGATACTATGGTTGATGAAATACGGAGACATTTGGTATTTGTCTCACTACTTGCCATCACTCTGTTGGCACTGCTGTGAAAGGGAGGACATGAGAGGGCAAGACCCATGGAATTACGTGGAATAATCTTTTGTGATTATTTTGTTTGTTTACCAGGATAAATAATCAGCCTATTAGTGTGATTCACACTCTTCTACTGTATATGGATCTCATGCAAGCCTCACTTATTATGCAAAGTGGATATGAGTCATTTGTTATCAGGACTGTGAAGTAATGCTTATGCAAAAATATTAAAATCCAATAATATTCTGTCTTCAAGGCCATTAAACAAATATATGAAATTCAAGGTACAAGGTACATTTTCTGTCACATTACAACAGGGTTGTAAAATGAGATGCACTTTGTAGTTCCTTTTATGCTACAAAGAGCACACAATATATAGCAATAAACTATTTTTCATGGTACAGTGCTGAGGATGAATTTTAATTTAAATTCAGGAGTCTCATAGTGTGGGAGGAAAAGCTGCTCCATAGTCTGGTGGTGCACCAGCAGATACTTCTGTATCTCTTGCTAGACGGCAGCAGGGTGAACGGGCTGTGGCTGCGGTGGGTACTGTCCTTTAGTATCCTTTGGGCTCTGTGTAGGCACCTCACCTCACCGATATCACTGATGCTCAGGAGATGGGTACCGATGATCTTCTGAGCAGTTTTAATCACCCTCTGCAGATCCCTCCGGTCCTGGGCCGTACACATCCCATGCCTGTTGGTGATATGTAAAAACTGACAAGAATTTGGCATGGGAATTTAGAGTTCTGAAATTTCCTTAAGAAATACAGCCGTTTCTAAGCTTTCTTTACCAGCATAGAGATGTGTGACTCCCAGGAACCTGAAACTGTTCACCTGCTCCAAATCACCTCCATTGATGTAGACAGGAGTATGTCTTAAAATCAACGATCAGCTATTTGGTTTTGCTAAAGTTGAGCAGTAGGTTGTTCTCTGTGCATCACTTAGCAAGATTATCGATGAAGTCTCATCATTGTTTGAGCACCAGAGTGGAGGAGGTGTGGCCACCAATCCTAATTATTTCATGTCTATTTGTGAGGAAGTCCAATATCCAGTTGCAGAGTGTGGTACTCAAGCCCAGAGTTCTGAGTTTGCCAATCAGGTTCATGGGGGAGACTGTGTTGAATGCTGAGCTGAAATCAGAAACAGCTTTCTGATGTAGGTGTTGTTTTTCTCAAGATGTGTGATGGCTTAGTGGAGGGCAGTGGAGATGGCATCTACTGTGGATCTGTTGGTTCTGAAAGCAAACTGAAAGAAAAACAGGAGGTGAGATGTAGTGGCCAAATGCAATACAGGTTGACCAACTTATGAAGTACAGCTAGAAATAAATCCTCAGAAAGGTAAAGTCATCCTTTTGAGTGCCTAAACACTGAGGCAGTGACTTTTGTTATTCTTCTAAAATGTCACTAGCCATCATTGCAAATATTACATTTAGAGGCCATTGGCTCAGGACTGAGATTATACGCACAGAAGGTTATTCTTGTTGCAAGCAAACTGACCTGAAACATCTTTTTTTTTCATCAAAGTCCCATCTGGGCTCCCCTGTGGAAAAATAAACCTTTATCTCTTTGAAATGAGATCACATCGTCCCCCTTTTTAAACTGTGAAAACCGGTAATTTACAGCAAAATACAAGTCCAGAGGAGAAAAATCAATATCCATTCCTCAAAGAGGAGAGTATTGACTTTGTGTTTTCTGTGAGGGTATAAAGCACCAGAAAGTGTTGCTGATAAGATGTGTATTATTACATGATGTGAACTGAAATAAAAGGCTTGATTCATCACCAGTCTGTAGGTGGTTGTGTTGCTTGTTTTTCTGGAAAAAACATATTTGCTTCAGCGAAAACTAAGTAGGCAGAATATTCTAATGTGATAATGTACATATTATTTTGGAAATATCTTCCGTTTTTGAGGGATGAGTTTTGATTTTTTTTTCTGTAAACAAAATTGAACCCTATAAACTTCTCTATTTACTGCTGGTTTAATTAAACCAGTTAACTTTAAGTTGAACTTGATTGAATTGATAGCTTTTTGAAGGGGAACAGCCCCTGCCTCGTTTTTAAGGGAGCCTCAATGTTCCTTGAGAGGTTTTCCTGTCCTGCTTATGTTTACGACCCCACACAACATTTTTTTTTCTGACCAAGCACAGCTAGTGAAGCAACAAATTAGCAGCGACTGGTGGAACAAGCTTCTCAGAGGGCCGTCATGAAAGTTTATGCAGCGGAGTCTCACATCCAATTAGCTGCTTCAATCCATAATGCCATTCAATAAAAAAAGGATACTGGCATGATGTTGAATACTGGAAAATAATAATATTATAATTAATTAACATTTCACTTTCAATGTAAAAGTATATTCAATAGCAAGCTGAACAATTTTGTTAGCTTTACCAGTTTGAACTAGGCTATGTGCCATGAATATTTCTGGACTCTCCGCAAAGAAATAGATCTGCCTACATTTCTTTATGGAGACATTCCTTTGCAGTTTTGTTTTTTGAAAGGACTAAATCAGTAAGATTACTTTAATGAAAAGCTCTGTGAATACACTCCACTGTCATTAT